ATATCAAGTCTTAGTTTCTGTCATGATGTTGTTATTCGTATCCAATTGACCAAAGTAAATATAGCCTCCTTCACGCATGTGCTGGACATTTCGTTCGTTTATGCTCTCAAGATACTCTCCACCTCTGTCAATGGGACACAGATGGAGAATATCGGAAGGTGCTCTCGCCTCCTTCAACCCCTTTTCGCTCTGGCGCCTTCTCTATACTCGAAATCCCTGAGATGTGGGGCGTGGCTGCACTTTTCAACTAAACATGGTGGTGGCTGTCTTTTGGGGAGATATATTCATTTTGACACAATTGTGGTCACGTCTCTGTTCAGTAGTGAACAAGATGGCAGTTGTCTCAAACTGAAATACCCCTCGAGTAACCCATTTGATGTCCTGTTCAAATGCCACGCCTACTCCTCAGGGAGGAGTGTATATAGGTGATTTCGTCGCAATCAGTCGGGGCGGTATCAGACGAGGTGGAGTGAGCCGCCCTGTCTTCGTTTTCTCCGAACAGTGATCGTTTAGTGATCGATTCGAGAAGATAATAACCAGTGTTAAAACGCGTCGTGTCGCAAGTGCGCTCGCGACACCGCCCTGACCGATTGCGACTACACCATTTGTACTTGTCTGACCACTGCGTGCTTTTCTCTACTCTGTGGTTCTACATTCCCGATGCACTCTACGAAGGCAGTACACAAGTAGCGACTCTACTGATAGAGGAATACACCATTCATCGGTGGTAGGCCTTGCAGTTGTACAGATGTCTGTAGTCTCTATTGTTTTTCACTAACAGGAGAACCACATTAAACTGCAAGCTCACAGAGTTCTTCATGCTGTTCGCCGATCAGGCCGCGTTTATACCTCACGACGCAGCCGCCGGCGCCAGGGCACATCGTTGTTGGGGAATCCCCAATAGGGGGGGGGGTCGTATTTGGCCGCCAGGAGAGGGGGTCGTATTTGGGCTGGGAAAATTATTTTGATAGTTGATTTTTCTCGCTTCACGGACGTTGTAAAGGGGGGGGGGTCGTACTTGGTCATTGTTGGGAGGGGGGGGTCGTATTTACGTTTTGGCGTTGTAGGAGTGGTGGTTGACTTTTGGTGATTTTCCTGTTTCATGCGTACTATATGCCCCCCCCCCCTCCCCCCCCCTCCGCCCGCTCGACGGCTCGATTCGATGAGGAGGAACAGAGGGCCGGAGGGGGGGGGGTCGTACAGACTCGACTAAAATCCCCAGCCAATGATGTGCCCTGGCCGGCGCTAACGCGGATCGATTAGTATGTCATCTTTTGTCGACGACTAAGTCCGTTGCCTCGACGTCGCCGACGACGTCGTGAGGTATGAACATATCCTCATTGTTCTGCATATTTATCACTGCTTGGTTTTTATCATTTCCTGATACTCTGCTTGGGCGGAGCCTACGAAATCAATGCGGTATCTTCGGAGTCGGATCGCTGAATTTCTCATTCACTGCATCCACAACTCTCCAGTTGGCCGGAGTCAATCGATATCTATCTAACGCATTCCCCGAATCTCCTAGTTTCCAGATCGATACGTACACTTACCACTGGGTTAAGTGTCGCAAGTCATGAATCGAGCCAAATTAAGCCTTTTCGTGGATTATCTGTTTTCCCCATTCTTTAGAAACATTGAGCGTGAAGAGTGCTTTTGAAGTCACTCACATGAACTCGCCATTTCTTGGAATGCTTGTCTGTAAGTCGAAGCATCTTCTTCTGGGATCTAGTCGAGCTAATTCCATTGCACGATTGGTCCAAATCTGATACAGATTCCTCTTCAGGTAAATCCACCAAGATCTCAGCAACTCCTAAATACCTGTTTCTCATGTGCTGTTAATTTCTGCCAAGCTGGTCTTGCTCTTTCGTACAGCAGGTCACAAACTGGAGACCTTGTTCCGCCAAGCTTTCCTCCGAGATGTTCTGCGTAAAGAGAGAAGCCGCACTCTGTCTAAAGAAGAACCGCTCATGTGGCTAGTTAAACTTCATCAAGACATGAAGAAAACTCACGCTCATCAAGCAGAGCAGCTACCGCGTCCGCCAACTCGTGCTTTAAATGAGACTCACCGCTTCTCGACCCCCTTCTAGACAATAGATGATTAGGGAAGATAATCACGTTTTTTCTTGTATCAGATTATTGCGCTTTATCATCATCAGTCCTCACTGAAAAAAAATATGCAAGATAAGAAGTACAAAAGAAAAGCTTGGCACGGTGACTGTAATTTGGCAGCTTCGGACCACAGGATTGTTTGGGACCAGCGCACAACATGCTGGAAGGACGGCTATCTTTCTCACAACACTACAGCTAGTTCTATTGCAGTTCCGGACAGAATCATCGCTTAGAAGTATCAGTTCACGTAACGTTCCACGTAGCCATCGGTCTTCAGAGAATCGGGTGTGCTATACTGCATCCACCTTGTATGGAAGGGGAAAAGCAGGGGCTGCAAATGGTGTCCCGCCACCTGTAGGCAGCGTTCAGACTTCACGACGGCAGCGCTTCGGAGCGATCGATGCAGTTGAAAGCATGCGCATCGAACGCGCGACCGAAGCGCTGCCGTCGTGAAGTCTGAACGCTGCCTACCTAAACACCCTGTTCCCTGGAGTATTAGGCGCTCTTCGTGGAGTCGCACGCGATAACGCGTGCGAGAAGTTGGTAGAACAGCGACAGTTTTTCTGCCTTTTTGCATAGTTCAATCTTCCATATGGTTCTCAATCACTTCTTATTGAATGGAGATCATTAATTTGGGTACGAACAAGTAAAAAAGCACCCAAAAACAAAGCGACGTTCAAATCGAAGGTGCGCCTGGACGTGAGTGTGCCTTTTACTCCTGGAACAGGCCATTTTACTGCAACATGTCGAGTCAGCTATCTAGTCCTACCAGTGTGTGCTCGTCACCTCATGGATCTAATGCCTCACAGCACAAGAAGAGTCAGCGGAAGCTAAGCGGCACAATGAGAACCGGCGAAAAGATTTTTAAACACATCAATCTGGGAAATCTCGTAACATATTTCGAGACGTAATATGCATTGCAAAGGCTTCTCCAGCTCTCCAGATGGATATCGTTCAATTTGGTTTCGCGAATACTCTTTTCAGTTCGCATTCATACTTTGTGACTTGAGAGAATAGGAGAATTAGCGACCCGACTCGAGAGAATGCGCGGCGAAAGAGTGAATGGGAACCGTTTGGCTCTAGCGCAGGTTTTCGCGAGACGTCTTATAGCCGATACTCTTTCAGTGTGGAAAAAAAACAGAAAACAATCTTCTCGGCACTGCCACAAAGTCCGCGATCACACGCCTTCACAGATAGTGGATCAGGGGCTAGCATATAGACGACAAGGTTATGAGTGAATCTATAGTGAAGAAAAAAAAAAGCAGAAAAAAAACATGCCAACTACCCTAGCTAGAACCCCATTCCGATCCCAGTTTGTACGTGCCTAACTAACTCCATCTTCAACACTACGCCCTCATCCGCCCAGCTGGTTCCCCGATAAGAACTCTACGACCCTACGAGTGACGATTTTCATGCTTTTTCGTCCTGCAGCACTGAAATGCGGGCCTTGAGGGCGGAGTCTGGAGGCGGAGTCACTGGAAAAAAGGAGGCGTCACTGAACCTATATTGCGCTACAGCGCCCCTCCCTTGCAATTTTTTGCCGCGAAACCGGTACAAGGTTGTTCGTCGTGGACCACACTACCCACCCGACGCAATATTTTCAACTTTATACCTGATCGCGGACCGTGCCTGTATCTGAAACCTCTCATTGAAACCCCTACAAGAACAGCACATTTCTGCATTTCCTGTGTGCTGTTCGGCTTATGAGAAAAACCTGGGATAACAAGAAAGTATTGCTATGGAGCCCACCCGCTTTTTCTTCGTTCACAACCAACGCAGAATCCGATGCGGAGTACAGCTCAACTTCAGCTCTTTGTGCCCCTGGTGTTTCCTCGCATCCTGCTCTGGACTTGGGACCTCTGCAGGTTCAAAAACGAATAAGAAGGAAATTTCCACAAGGTGAGACAATCCTAAACGATTTCGTACCACAGGATGCACGCTTTCCCTTTAACCTTGCTGGTTAGTGAACAGGGAGACGGTGAATGCGCTCCACTGCAAACGCATGGTGAATATTTCTGCAGGAGTGTGGTCATATACGCCGGCGTTGTAAGCGTCCCAGAAGACTCAGCATTCTGAACGTTCCTTGCGAAAGTATCGTTTAGGTACCGCTAATTCGCTAAAAACGCAGGCGTTCCCTCAGAACGCCAAGTCGCAAAGTATGAACGCAGCCTGCATGGAGTTTCAGCGGGTTTTTCTCGAAGTTCTAGGGTTGCAATAGTTGAACAATGTTGAGAACCCGAAGAAAAAGGAACGATCGACATCCACAAGTACATAGCCTCATTTGCCTGCGCTGCCAACATCTGGCGGAGATAACGTGCTTCAACGCAAGGCCGCGACACAGCCGCGAAAGTTTGGTAGTTTTCACCCTCACGAGTTCTTGGATGGTAAGCTATCTTGGAACAACTTGGATTATGTTTCAGAAGTAGTGAATGCGATGGGAAACCCCATAATGGGCCTTCGTAGCTATAGCAACCAACTCCTCGTTCCCATTACGCCTTTTTGCCGTGCATCGTTTTCGCTGTTTTTGCTTTCCAGGGTTGTGCTGTCGTATGGAAGTTGTATCACATCTTTAGAACTAGTGTTTTCATCTATCATAGTGAGATAACAGTGACTAGTCACAATTAGTACTGTTATATGGTTATTTCAGGAATTCCATGCATGAAAATGGAATCCTCGAGTACAAGACGACGTTAGGTTTTAATAAAGATCAACATTTACACAAAAACCCAACGTGTTTGGAGCATCCAGAATGTCCTGAAAGGATTGATGAGTGTCGAGATGTACTTCGCAAATGTGGACTGCTGAATGCATGTCAGGAAGTCGACGTTAGTTCAAGCTTTTACCCTATGAGTACGGTTGAAGAGGAATTTGTACGGTGAGGTTGCTTGGAACGCAAAATATGATCACGGTGGGAAGGTTGTGCGAGGACTGAAAGTAAAGTCCTTTTCGCTGCGGATGAAAGGGCGTGTAAGGTGGGCTCGGTTCAGCTTGGCGCCAAACCCGTTCTATGCCAGTTGATGGAGCCGGTAAGGTACAACAACTGATGAAAAACAAGATAGATATCATCCCCTTTTCTCGCTCGCTCGCTTGAACAAGTGCTGGCAAAAAGTTTCGCGCCGCGCCAGACTCATTCCGATCCGACCCGCCAGACCCAACACGCCTCTTCACCGTAGCGAACAAGACTGCATTGAAATCTTATTACTTATTGTAAGGATAACCGTGTATATTACGCCGGCAAACTCGTATTCGCACACCTCACGGGCGCTGTTGCTGTTTGGCATGTGAGTGTGGGTGAGGGGAGTAGGGGCTGGGGTTGGGCGCATCTGTGTACATTACGGGAAACGGGCAAAAGAATCGTAATTTGCCTCACAGCCGCGCGCGGCGATAGGCGCGGCGTTTTCTTAACTCGTGTTAACCTGTCGACTGGAGCACCGGACTTCATGTAGACCTCGTCATTGTAGACATTCATTACTATTTTCGTTTCTGAATTGCTGTTTTCATCATCCAACACCTGAACTGTCGTCATTTGCGGACGCGTCGTCGCACGCGACACCCACCAGCGCATTGAATTACGATTCTCTTGTCATATACCTGTACATTACTACCGACAGTGATATGAACGATACGCCACGTCTAGCTTGACGACACGTTTCATTTTTCATGGAAGTGTAACGCAGAGCGGTTGGTTGTGACTAAATCTTCTCCTGTGAAAACTGAAAACTTAGCATCCAGTTTTGGAAGGTGCTGGAGATTGTGAGCCGAGGGGGGGGGGGGATTGAGGAACTAACTGAATGCGTTTGAATGGAGGGAGCACCTTGGCGGGTGCGTTAAGCGCCTTGTGGAAAAAGCTTTTTTTTCATTAGAGGTGGCTCACTTACTCGTGCGTCCTTCTTCCTGCCGTCTCCTACCTCCTTCACTGGGTGATTTAGTTTATGTTCAGGCAGTGTAGCTTACAGCAAACCATTTTGTCGTATCTACGCAAATTCTCTATATCTCACGGTTGCTCTAGGATTGCATGAACCCCACTGAACTGTCTGATTCGCCCCTTAGGCATTGTTCACAGTCTGACACCAACGGCGGTTCGGCGATAAGCAAAAAATATTGAGAATCGCCAACCACCCGTTCGACGAACCGCCGCGGTTCAGCGGTTGGGCGAAAAGCAATAGATACGTATCGATTTCGCAGGCTCCGCCCTAGAGAAAAACGCCAGGGTGGTCGGCTAGCGTTTTTCGCCCAACCGCTTCGCCGAACCGCCCGTCGATACGTATCAAAACCGTTTCGCGCAACCGCCAGACTCTTCGCCCAACCGCCAATCGATGACTATCGAAAATTTTTCGATGATGCGTTTCTTTTACGTTGCGTTCATACCGTGCGACGTTGTCGTCAACGTCGACGTAACCGACGTTTTCGACGACTAGTTCGCGAAGATTATATATGTATCGATCCGACGTAACGGACGAAACCGACGTAAGCGACGTAACCGACGACTACTTCACGAAGATTAGATACGTATCGATTCGACGTAACCGACGTAAGCGACGTAACCGACGTATGTGATGTAACCGACGTTTTCGACGTCAGTCGATACGTATCTAATCTTCTGCTCTGGTTACGTCAATTACGTCGACAGGTGGATCGATACGTATCTAGTCTCTAGTCGTCGAAAACGTCGGTTACGTCGCTTTCGTCGGTTGCGTCGACGTTGACGACGCCGTCGCACAGTATAAACGCAGCCTTAGAGAAACGCTGGGCCGCAAACTGTGAACAATGCCTTACTGATAGCAGATTACTCGGCCTTGCCAAGGTGGTTGCAATCATACGCTTCCTGTAACTGTGACATCAAAAATGAAACCAGTATCCTTAGTGTATCATACTCTCCACATCAGTGCTCGAAAAGTAGCAGCACAGAACACATTCCTGCTTCCAAGCCATACAGCGCCCCTTTCCCGATTATCTGAAAGCTGGGATTCTTTCTGTGTGTTGAGTGTGCAGTTCTGGTTGATTATGAGCCTTTGTTGAAATATCCTGGCAGTGACATCATCAAGCTCGATATGTTTGGTTGTGTGGTAAAAGCAAGAAAATAGGAAGAGTGAAGGAGTTTTTGATCAAATATTTCGGAGGGATGGATGTGCATAGTAGAAGAAATTGTCCCCAATAGTTGGCAGAAGTGGAGGAGAGGGAGGGGAGTTAGAGTGAAATTAATAATGGAGATTAAAACTACAGTGTGATACTTAATCTCTTACTCTTCTTGACTCTTTTCACCTATCATTTCCTTTCCAGGATTTCCCACCCCTAGATGATCTGGATCTTCGTCAAACACATAGCGAGGACCATGTTAACAAGTTGCTCAAGGACTCCATCTCTCTCAGTCAAAATGCCCTAAACCGCCTTTGTGAGAGCTATGACTCCGTGTTCATGACACCGGTTAGTTTTCTAGTGCAGTGCTAAAAAATTGAAGGTCTTTTTCTGTTCTAGTTTTTTCTACTTTCCTTTTCTGCATCTGAGGTTTTTAGGATTCGGTGAAGGCCGCGCAATCCGCCGTCTCTTGCTGCCGGTTTCTTGCTGAAAGCATTGTGGAAGAGAAGGTGAGTACTTTCTTATACTGCACCAGTACAATAGTGTTATTATATTCGTAAACAAGACACTATTTTGGTTCTAGTGGCAGCCAGTGAATGACATGTGAACCACTTTCAAATAAGTTATCGCTTAGAGTCTATCAACTTGATGAAACCACCTAGAACTTTGAGTGGTTGAGTGCCTTCACATATCAGTGGTACTCAGGCTGCGTTCGTACTTTGCGACTTTTCGTTCTGGCGAATTTGTGTTTCTAGCTGATCAGCGTTCTGCGCGATTCTGCGTTTTGGGTGAAAATGACGAGTTAGATACTGACAAGCGCTCGTCCCTAGCGTTTTGATGAAATCGGCGTTTTGGAGAATCGCCGTTTTGAGTGTCAATCGATACCGGTACCATGCTCGCTCAAAGCAAAAGGTGGATTCGCCCAAAGCGCGAATGCCAAAGTATGAGCGCAGCGTCATTCTAGTGGGTTGTTGCATAAGTTCTTTCCCGACTTTTTTGTAAATATCTCAATAGCGAACCAGCCTGAAGATTAGAGGTATGCACCATCACCATCCACTACTCGACGCCAACGCTCAGGCAGCTTGTCGATTCCATCGTCCCAGAAGGACGGGGGCTGGGACCCGAAGAAGGCCACAACCGCACAATCACCACTGTGACATGGTTTTGCACTGGTAATTGTGCGGCATTGTAGCCTGCAAATGCAGGGTGGGTGAGTGATAGCTAGTGTGGTGAAAGAGTATCATGTACACGTCACGCACACGTGATGACGAAATACCAACCTCCATGCAAACGAAATACGGAAGGATCAAAACAGGGGGGAAAACTTATGCAACAACCTAATAGTTGATGTATAGGTGGGGTTCCAAAGCATTTTGGCTTCTATGTTATGACCTTGACTAGCCTTTATCCAGGAACTACAAACATTCAGAGTTGCATATTTCACCCTCAGCTTCGGCTTCCTCGTTATTTTTTCAATGCTACATGTGTTTTCCCATCTTTTAGATCCCTAATGCCTTCGCGTTGGTTAGACCTCCTGGGCACCATGCCGGTCGTTCTTCTGCTAGTGGCTTTTGTCTTTTCAATAACGCTGCACAAGCTGCAGAAGCTGCGTTCAATTTCGGTGCTGATAGGTAATGGTTTTTTGAAGAATTTCAGTGCAAATCTTTGCCTCTCTAATATTTTTTTTATTTTAGGATCCTCATAATCGATCTAGACGTCCATCATGGAAATGGCACACAAGAAATTTTCTATGAGGATAAGCGGTAAGCCATTGTTTTTCAGTGTTGTTCTCCTGAATGTAGCGTATTCGTTTTCGCGGATTATTTCTTTAAATCTTGTGTTTATTTCAGGGTATTGGTTTTCTCCATACATCGTTACCAAAACGGCAAGTTTTGGCCCCACTTGAGAGAATCAAATTTCGATCATATAGGCACCTACGAAGGAAGGGGTTACAACGTTAATGTTCCTCTGAATGAGGTGAGTCTGTGACTTTCGACAATGGCCTAGTAACCAACTTGTTTGGGCGCACTTTTTCGAAGCGAAAGAAATTTACAGGTTGGCTGTGGTGATGCTGACTATATGGCGGTTTTCTGGAATGTCCTTTGGCCACTAGCTTCCCAATTTAATCCTGATTTCGTCGTTGTTTCTGCTGGTGTGGTTTCTTTTTTTCAAACTTTCTAATTGGTTTGGCTTGAAATACAGTGACAACAGTTCGTCCTTGATCAGGGATGACATTCTTTGCCTGTTGCAGGTTTCGACACTTGCGACGGAGATCCTTTGGGTGAAATGTGTCTCTCGCCAGACGCTTTATCCCACATCGTCTACCACCTAAGTGCTTTGGCTCGCGGAAAACTCCTAGCTATTCTGGAGGTACGTACAGGTTTTCTCAACTGTTCTCTTTATATTCATTCTCATCACTCTCAAATGGGTTTGAGCACTTTTCCCAAATGAAAGCTATAATTTTCCACATGAACGTAAAAATTTTTTTCGATAGTTGAAATGTTAATGTTCACTGAAATAAGAGAGCAAATCCGTCGCAACTATGTGGACTTTTCTCCATCGGTCGAGTACCTACACCATAATTATGCTCTGGTCACTTCCCTTCATCTAAACAACTTTCCGCTATGTTTTCCAAACACTGCAGCCCAGGGATTGAAGCCGTTTTCTTTCTTTTTCTCCTTGCTTTTTTTTGTTAATTTGGTAATATCATCAAGATATTTGGGGTATCTGAGGTGTCAAGATGTTATAAAGGAAGCAGTATTATCAAGGTATTTGCATCATTGTCCAACCACAGTGCGCTTTTTATTGGCTTGATACTATTTCCCCAAATCATTCTTTCGATTCACGCTCATTGTTCTTGAAACATGAGCTTTGGGGTAGAAAGCTTCTTTCGAATTCCTGTCAATGCAGGTCTGCTAGCTGGTGGAAATGTTTTACGTCGCCGATGCTTCGAATAAAACTCCGCCTTCAATAACCTGGGAAGTTCTCGAACTGTGTTGCAACTAGTACCAAACTAAACGTTCATTGGATTAGACTAGCAGCATTATCTCCTGAGGTTCCCAGACGAGAAGCCCGTCCTCGTGGTTTCATAGCACATGACCCTACTCTATGCTATAAACAAGAGGTAAATGAGACTTTACCATGATAGTAAGTCATAATATGCATATCTACAACAATCTCAGTGCGATTTTTTTGTCTGGGATGGGCTATTTTTAATTCCTTAGCTCCAATATCAACAAGAGAGGGTATAAATAATTGTTGATGAGCTTTTAGCAACTTTTTAGGGACCTCTCGCAAGTGTCAAAAGCTTCAATGTGGATAATTTCCTTGTGGAGTGTTCCCCTTTTCATCTAAATGGTTCTGCTCGTTTTTTGTCTGCCTTCGTATCATATGCACGTAATGTGAGAGCGAACAGTGGTCCCATATAGTGCGTTCCAATTGCTACTTGCTTTATTCACACCATTTACTAAGTTTTCACACTAAGTTTTTTCTCACCATGGGTTTAGTATTTGGAGTGACTACCTACGAATTGCCTTTTATGACCTACCAGTCGGCTCGCCGGCTGACGCCGGCGCGCCTCCTTCTGATACGGCCCGGCTGCGCCGGGCGGGCGCGGCTTCGCCGCGCGTATTTTCTTTCACATATATACACTATATTATATACACTACACTATATTATATACACTATATTTTTTACATATATACACTATATTATATATATATATACATTTTTAGACTCACTGATATCCGCCTTTTGTTCTGTACTCCACTTTTTCCGGTGTCTGAAGTACTCTTGAGCTGTTTTACAGATTCTTCGTCTGACTCCTGCCCACCTCAAAGCAGACCCCGCCCACAATTTTTGTGCCGCACAATCTCCACCGACGACCCTCTGCTGACCTTAGTCCACTTTTTTTCCGGTCTTTGAAGTGCTCTGGGACAGTATTAGAGCATTTTCGTCTGGCTGCGCCCACCCCCGCCCACAATACGTAAACCCCACATTTCTCAATCGGCGACCCCTTGCTGACCTGAATTCACTTTATTCCGGTCTTCGGAGTGCTCTGGAACCGTTTTACAGACCTTTTTGTCTGGCTCCGCCCACCTCGGAGCAGGCTCCGCCCACAATGTTTTTGCCCCACAATCCTCACCGGCGACCCTCTGCTGACCTTAGTCCACTTTTTTCCGGTGTCTGGAGTGTTCTGGAACCGAGCTACAAACTTTTAAAATGAATACCCTGCGATTTAGGGCAAGCTCCGCCCACTGTGGGCGGTCTCAACACACTTTGAGCGTGCCCTATATTCGCCAGATATTTACATTCTACACTGAGTTTTTTGCGACTTCCAAACACTCTCGCGAACCGGGTTACTGAATTTTGCGAGAAGCACCGCCCACCTTGAGTACGCCCCGCCCATTTTGGATGTGTCTGCCACAGTTAGTCTGGCGACTCCTTACTAACCTTATTTCCTTTTTTCCCCATCTTTAAGCTGCTCCGGAAGCGAATTATGAACATTTTTCTGCGGAACCCCAAACTTTCGGCGAGTGCCCCGCCCACTGTGGGCGGGGCTTCCCATAGGTCAAGTGTGCTTTTTATTTCTTGTCCCATGCCCTACCCATCCCCACCTTGACCCGACCTCTCCAAGTCGTTCTTCAGGTCGAACCGAATTTCCGGACAGACAAACTTACAAACAAACAAACTTACAAACAAACAAACAAACTTACAAACAAACAGAAAGCGAATTATATATATGGGGTGATGATTGGTGAATATTGCCATTTTGCAGTTACACTTTATTTACAGTTACACTTCACTTCGACGCAGAGATACCGCGTTTACCACTCGCGCGGTCTTGGGATCAAATCCTTGGTATCGGATTCGTCTGGGAGGATAAGTACATTGACTTATACATCGGCTGGCCCCCGCAAGTCATTGTATAGGCCACATCGCATTCAATAAGCCACTACGATTCTGAATGGAAGTAGAATGCGTGCCGCATCCCACAAAGGGATTGATCAACGGCGAAGACTTTATCCTTTATCCTTTTACCAGTCGGATCGCCCGGCTGACGCCGAGCTCTCCTCCTTCTTTTAGCTCGGCTTCGCCGAGCTGGCCTGGCTTCGCCAGGCGCACATCATAACGGGATGGAATTTGTTAATTGCCTGAGCTGCTCATATTGCGCGCTAGTGGTAATGACTGCGTGCTGGTTTTGGCCATAACGCCCATTCTATACGTAGATCTTAGAAATATGGAAGCACAGAATATCAATATGTGTTGCACAGTAGATGAACCTATTCCGTTTTTAATACCTGCATCACAACACCAACGATGGGCGATTAACTTGTCATTAACATACAATCCGCCTGCTAAGGTTGCACGAATTTGCATCCCCCCTAGTGGGATGAGTTCACTTTCTAGTGCTATCAGAGAAGTGATAGCTGGAGGAAAAGTTCGCCTACTGAGAGGCTTTTTTGGCAGTGTAGTGGTCAGAGATGTCGTGAGAATGTCCCCTTATCTTTACTTATCAATTGATAAAATTGCTTGTCACCCGTCATCAATGTCGCTATCTGTAAAACTCCATAATTTCGTAAAGGCTCCAGTATTTGGTTGAACAACAACTGCAAAAATCTCTATCAGGCCCTATCAACCGTTATCACTTCCTGTCACCCGCCGTCGCTGTCTCCACCTTCCCCTTGATATCATTTGCTGAAATCAACGCCTAACTGATGCTGTGTCCCGCGTTATGAGTATGTTGTCCTTTCCACTCTAACTCAGCTAGTTCTTGTCACCCACATATTCCTGTGCCATAACCTATATCATACCTTGGAACAAACGCCCCAGTGTTCCAGTCGGACCGCCCCTCTGCTTCCTTCCCTTGCGCATGCTCAGATCGGGCTGAGCACGCGCAGGGGGAGGAAGCAAAGAGGGTGGGGGCGGTGGGGTGGAGCCGAGGGGGGGGAGGGGGCACTGGGCCCCCCCCCTCGGCTCCACCCCACCCTGCCCCCGCACGAGCACACGTCCAGCTGCCACGCCAGCAGCTCGTGCAATGGCTCGGAGTGTACCGAATGGTTGTCTTATATAGCGGATGCTGTTATCACAATCAAAACATTGGATTGATACATCTGCACCAATCGGTTTCCGGTTTGCTTAGCGGTCGTTCTTCCTTCCACTAATTCTAACCCGTGAAGCATTTTGCGGACGGATGGTTTATAGAATGAAAAGGATTTGAAATTTTTCTGGCGGTTGTTTTCTCATCTCTTGCTGTTGCTGCGTGCTTCCACTCGAGCGTGCGCTACCCCCCCCCCTTCACCGTATCCCCTCCCCTCTGCTTCCTCCACTTGCACATGCTCATGTCCCGCTGAGCACGTGCAGGTGAGGAAGCAGAGGGGAGGGGTCACTCGGTGCCCCCCCCTGCCCCCGCACGAGCACATCCAGCTGCCACGCCAGCAGCTCGTGCAATGGCTCGGAGTGTACCGAATGGTTGTCTTATATAGTGGAGGCTGTTATCACAATCAAAACATTGCATTGATACATCTGCACCAATCGATTTCCGGTTTGCCTAGCGGTCGTTTTTCCCTCCAGTAATTCGAACCCGTGAAACATTTTGCGGACGGACAGACATACATACTTACATACATACATAATCGGAATCGCCCGGCTGTCGCCGGGCGCTCCTCCTTCTGTAACAATTAGCCGGCTTCGCCGTGTCTTCCTAAAGTGTCTTGCTTTGGAATGCACTACCGCATTCAGCAGTGGAACCCTTTAAATGGCCCTCACTGAAGTTGCTGATGGAAGATAATTGTGGTAAGAGTGATAAAGTCAGTTGCTGCTGTTCATAACATCTCTGTAAACAAACCACATGCATTTGGAATAGAGGCTTAGCGGTCGTACACGATGTCGTTACTAATAAGCAGTGAGGAATGAGTTCTGTTGGAATCACTGAGATCGTTATACTTGAGTCATATCGATCGCATTGTTGTTGTGAGCGGTGAAGCGGATTTTCCCTACCTTGTCAATTTTAGCTCCTATCACTTCCGTACCCGCCAATAACACTCCCGTCCCGTATCACTATCATATCACCCTGTATCGCCTCTCGGATCAGAGGTCCCACTGTTGCTGTAACCTGCGTTACGAATCTGATGACCCTCCCCTTCCGAGGCCGCTTACCGTATCTTATCAACTGTTATCACTTTCTGTCGCCCGCCAATAATGTTCCCGTCCCACACCCTATATCACCTCACGGATCTGAGTTCCCACTGTTGCTGTAACCTGCGCCACGAATTTGATGACCCTCCTCTTCCGAGGCCCCTTATCGGATCTTATCAACTGTTATCAGCTTCTGCCAGCCCACCCTACGGCATATCAGTACTTGAAATCATGGTCCCGCCGTTGCTGCAACTTGCCACGAATTCGGTCACCCTCCCCACCCTCCCCTTTTAAGGCCCCTTATCGAATCTTAT